AAATTCTTGAATCTCAGGTGTAATCTCGGTTAACCCATCTTCTCCTTCAGTCACTGGGACAGCAGCCTCCAAATTTTTCCAGTCCTCCAGGGTAGGTTCAAATCCTAACGATTTGGGGGTAGTGGTGGCGGTTGCTTTGTGTGATGCAAACAAAGTATCAGGGTTGAGCCAGGCATCATTTGCTGGTGACAGAATCTGCTCGGTATTGAGATCATTGGATTGAACACAAGGAGAGGGACTTTGGGACATTTCATCATCTGCTCTGTAGTCATCTAAACTCTCCTTGTCTGCTGAAGATGACTGACCTTGAAATTTATAATCCAACGTAACATTTTTCTTGAATTTTAAAGACAACTTAGGAGGTGATACAGTTTCTAAGGACCAAGATTTTCGCCTAGGGACCTGCTCCTCATTGATAGAAGATGACGATTGTTTAGCATATAGCTGACCTGCTGTTTTCTGTTTTTGTAGAGAAGATCTGTGATTGCACTGCTTGTGTAAGTCAGGGGTCACAGGCAAAGGATGACAGAATCTTCCTCTAATAAAATAAATCAATCAAATCAAATATCAGCACATCAGAGTGACAGTTTAATTCACAAAACCCAACTTAGTCCAAAAATTTAATTTCTTCTAGTATATAGTTTTTCAGGCATCATCAGGTCAAACACTATTGCATTGATAAATTTTACTGAGTCAGACAAACTGAAAAGGGAAATCTCAATTTTCCATTTCTCCAAGTTAAAAAAAAAAGAGTTATGCCCCTTTTGTGCAATGCTTATTAGATACACAATATAGATATATAAATTTCTCTTTGAAAATTGTTCCTTATGAATTATTTTTTTAAATAAATGTTTTGATTGATTGATGCCGTGCAATAAATCACCAGTCAAAAGATAAAAAGGTGAAAAGAAGTGAAACATGTATGTACTATATAGTCAAAACTACATTGTATTATAAAACAAATAAAGTGCCCCGCCACAGCATGATACGCCCGTCAAATATTGTTCAATTATCACGAACAGTTTAGAGTGCAAGAAAATCAAGTCAACCTTGATACAAGGATTTCCAAGATTTTTCTATTTCTTATAATTTTTGTTTATACATTTCATGTGGTGTAGGCATTATAACAAATATTACATAATAGATCCTCAACTGGTAGTGTTAGAGCTTGACAAATGCCCATCTGCAGCCCCCCCCCCCCCCCCCCCCTCCACACACACACACACACACACACAGTGACACACACACACATCTTTCATATTTGTGAGACATGATGCTCTGAAATTTACTAGTTGATATTTTCAAAAATTTAAATAAAAATATCATATTAAACAATATCAATTTAGTCTTAACAACTTAATCTATACCAATTAATTTAATTTTAAAATAAAAGACTGGCCATCAAATGACATATGCTATAAACTGACCAGCAGTTCTTCTGTCTAATTCCCAAAGGATACAGATAAGAACTGCTTGATCAGAGATGCTCTAACAGAAATGAATGAGACAGCTAGCCTTCCTACACTGAACTCATTAATTAATCTTTAACTGGATGCATGTCCACTCATTACTCCCAAGGGATGAATGGATCTGCGCTATCTGCTTGGTAGTGCAATTAAAATGCATATTTATGTCATTCTGAAATTAAATTTGAAAACAAAGATTTTTTTCTAATTTGTTACAAAGATTTATAAAAAGAAAAAAAATTGTAATCTTGATGCAACATTTTTAATAAGGTTTCTGCTTGACTCTTAGATTTGTAGGGACTATCTACCATGATTAAAATTTTTTTTTTAAATACTTGTTGTTTTCTTTTTTATTGGATTCAATGTCACACTGGTTTTAAGCTGCAATTCATATGGACAATGGGCATGCTAATTCCAATACCAATATCATACCCCCCCCCCCCCCCCCCCGAGTATAATTAGTTTAAATTAATTAGTTTATTATACGATATCAAATTAGTTTTAATTACTTTTCACCAAATTCATTTTAAAAGTTAGGCTAGCCCACAAAAACTATTTAATCCAACATGGCTGACTCCTCTGCCCAATTCCCAAGAGATATAGATAACACCTGCTTGATCAGAGATGCTCTACCAGTTAGCTCCTCACACTAAACTCATTAATTTCTCTCTAATTTGACATGCAATTTTCTGTTATCAAAATTCTCCTTGACCAGTGCTTGATAATTACACCCATGGGAGAGGTGGAATTTCTCTTGTAACATTATATTTGTTATAGATTGCTGTAAAGTATATAATGAAAAAAATAAGTATTTCTTGATTTTAACATCTTTGTAATAAGGATACTGCAACACTTTTACATTTTTTGGGATTGTGTAATTTAATAGTAAAAAGACAGTATTTTTAAAATTTCACTTAAATTAAAGGTCACAGTGACCTTGAAATAGGTCGCGACACACCTTCTACCTAAGATGCATAAACTGGCCAAGTTTGATGATACTAAGTCTAATAGTTTTCTAGTTATGAGCCTGACAGGATTTTTCCATATTTGGCCATAGCATCTTAATTAAAGGTCAGAGCGACCTACTTTTAGTGCGCAACACACCTTCTACCCAAGAAGTATCAGCTGACAAAGTTTGATAATCCTAGGCCTAATAGTATTAAAGTTATGAGCCGGACACGAGAAAAGCTAACAGACAGACAGACAGACGGACATGAACGCCATAACATAATACGTCCCGTCTAAAGACGGGCGTATAAAAATACTAGAGTATCAGGTAATAAACTGGATTAAAACCCACCTACAGTGTACTACACTACAATCAGTGTAACAATTTTACAAAACAATTAACTCGTTAACAAAGTGTTGTTACCTGAATAAGTCTGTGGACTGAATGGACTGTGAAGGAGAGTCGTGAGGGTTGTATCCTATAAAGTTGAGGACAATCAGCTTTGTCTCTAGATTAAAGTTTTCAGGGGAGTACGGTGGAGTAGGGGGAGATTTAGCTGCCATTTCTATCTGCAAAGTAAATTTTGAAAATTCAGATTAATACATTCAGTACATGTAAATATCTTAATGATCATCAATTTAAAACATTTTTACAAAACTATAAAAGCTGTATTTGGAACACATAATTATGATTGTGACAACTGACAAGTAAACAAGAAAGCTTATTAATTAAGTGAAAGTTAATGAATACTTCAAAAATGAAAAAAAAATTCAGATAAAAGTAATATACAGTTGTTTTACATAGTAAATACGTTTGTTAATGTGGACATCGTACTGCAGTCAACCTCCATGGTTGCAGAAGTTCCAAATGTTCTTCATTGTTTACAGTCATGTAATTTGTATCTTTATTCTTTTCAAATAAGTGGTACCTGCATGGTTCAATAATTCCTAAATATTTATAGTACAGGCACATGACAAAGTTGTCAATACTTGATATCGCGATTACTTTACTTAATGGAACTCTTTCGTGGTGAAGGTAGGAAACGTCTGTTAACTGGGGGCAATGTGCTAGCTGTTCCATACAACGCGAGATCAAGCAGTGTGGATTTTTAAGGGGCAGATATGAAAGATTACGACCTGGTGAAATATCTTGCGGAACATTCTCTGTACCACGCTTATAAATTTTAAGACAACCTAGTCCTCATGTGTTAAATTTTTTTGATACTTTTTCAGTAAGCCGACTCTTCTAATTAAATTCAACCATTTCTTTCTGATTATCGTTACTTTTGGAAGCTGATAAAAAACTTTACACATTCCAAATAAGACAACCTACTATTGGAAGTTCAACCCTTTGCAATACATAGTATTTTTGGCATACTAATTGTTCGAATCATTTGAATGTCACTAATGTAAGTAATTTATGCACGTAAATCTCGCGAGATTTAGAGTTTCCTCGACTTCGTTGCAAAGGAGCGGCATTACGTAAGATAACTGCGAGGTAATCGCGATACAAAGTATTACATCACCCCTCTATTTTACTAGATTCAAAATGATTCTTCAGTATGGAATCAATTGGTGCCCTAGCTCTTCTGTTGCTGACCCCAAAAAATAAAACTGGCAGAATGAAATTTATCAATTTCACAGATGTCATATGAATATGGAGCGTGTAACTAACTCATCCTATTGTCATTCGACTGTTGTTGAAATTCACAAGATAATCATGCAACATTGTATATACAAACTGTAAACAGGATTTTTACATGGAAACAAAAATTCAGCATGTCTAGAAACTACAAACCATTCATGTATGGCTGTTCCCATATATGTGTATGATTACCAGAAAGAATTTGATTTTTTTCTTTTTAATTCTTGAAAAAACAACCACAAGACAAAACATTGGATATTATGCATCACTGTTGAAACATGGGCTGCTTTGCATGTTTTGCACCACCGTCAAAAATGTAAAATGGAAGTAAGCCATGAGACAGAAATTGGAGAGTTATACATTCTACAGCTAGACCTACATACATGTATGTACATGTACAGATGTAGAAACAGTGTTTGAAATAACCATGTGCCCGAGAAGCACAAATTTTGAGGTAGGCAAACACATTTGCATGTATTGACGCCCAGCTGGATGTGTTAAAATGTTAAATTATTAAAATTCATATATTTGAGAAATCTCTTTCATATCAAGTAACTTAGCGGTAGCAAAGTGTTCGATCATTCTATAGATTCTGGTTCGAACGGTGACCTGATTCCAGTCACATAATCGTTAAAAACAAATTTATAAAAGACAATTATTTTCTCAGGCTAGTAGATCTTTGGCAGGGCTGACAACTTTTACTTTTACTAGCACTAGCAGTCAGCCTTGCATGTCTGGAAAATTTGCAGTGACTGAGTTTCACTTTCAAACACTGTGTAGGAATGATCAAGTATACATTGATCATGTGTTGAACAATTATTTTATGTTTATGTGAAAAAATCTGCATATTCTTCATTCACAAAACTGTGTTTCATTTAAACCTTATTTACCTGGCTGACACTTCTACTTCTTTCACATTTCATATGCTTTAACCGATACCGGAAGTGTGTTCTACGTCATCGTTTATTGGGCTCAGCACAGTCACGAGAAATTTGCCAGTAATAATTTTTCCTGTGGAAAAAAAGTGATTTTATCAACGGTCAAGATGGCTATGAGCGATCAAGATGTCCAAAAACAGGTATATTGGAAGTGTTAAATGCAGAGCTTGATAGTATATGCCTGAAATTACTATAGGTTTACTTAAAATATACATAATCAGCATATTGATTTCTTGACAACAAAAATATTCCAACTTCCATCAAACGTTTAGACAGAGCTTTGCTTAATTAAGTACATTGTTTGCGTATAATAAAAAAAATAACGTTTACATTATATAGTCCAGGTACATTCCTTGTTCTTTCTTTCTGAACTGGAGATATTTTGAGATTTTTTAAAGTGGCAGGTGAGATAACCTCACAACTGTCAGTGTCAGTAGACATATTCATAAGAAAACATAAAATTCTTCTTATTAGTGCATACATTATAAACACAGCAGAAAACACAAAATCAGAATGCTGCATTATATAAAAAATTCTGCACCAGATCAGGGACCTATATACTAAGTATATAGGTCCCTGACCAGATCAAACTTTATAGCCAGGGCTCTCACTCCACTTTTTGGGAATGGGGCCGGGGCCGTTAAAATTGAGAAAATTAATGACCTTTTGGGGAATTTGGGGAAATCATAACCAGACATTATACATTATATTCATGATATATGGAGTTTCTGGTGGTTGTTATGAACTAAATTTCTGTTTTGTAATATAGAGAAATATGAATTACAGGTAACTACATATCTTGCTAAATGTTCTTTAATATTTGGGGAAGTGACAGATTGGGAAAATTAACACATTCAATTGGAAAAAAGATACGTTTTTTGAATTGGGAATGGGGCCTTTGAACGGCCCCAAATATCTAGAATTGAGAGCCCTGATAGCAGACGTCACAAGTCATTTATGTACCTGGTAAGAAGAAAAAATGTGTTGGATTCGAAATCAAACCCAGGACCCCTGAATCATTAGGCAGGAGGCTCTACCAACTGAGCTATCTGGCACCAGCAATCAATGTGCCTGCATGACTGCTACAGCAGGGTTGTGGTTAACTTTCGAAACCTTAGGGGCCATGTGGGCTCCTAACTTTTCAAATTTTACTGGCCCACAATGTGAGCCACGGGCCCACATTATATGCAAATTTAAAAAAAGAACACAAAAATCCTAAATGTTTCTAATTTTTTTTTTATTGTAGAATCTATATGTTCGCAGTATATGGATTTTTGTCGCGTTTTCTCTTTTCTAAAAACTTTGATCCGATAATATCTTCATTAAATTTAGTAGTATTTAACCCTAATTTAAACAACTTAAATATCTATGGTTTAACAAGGGGGCATATTAAATAATAAATTACAACCTGTGATCAAGTTGATCCCAATCTTTTATTGTGCGCATTTGACACGGTAATTCGAATTCTATCTGTGAATAACTAGTCCAATGGCGTGTGTGACAACCATAGCCGATTGTTACTAATATTTCTATTAGAACAATCTCAAAGATTTGCTCTTGTATCATCAGATTTAACGGAGATCTAACCGCTTCGATAAATCGCCATTTTTGATCTCAGTCACGTACATGTTTGAGTAATGCAACACAAATAATCTAAGTTAGTAGAGCGTTTTCTTAAAAACTGAATTTCAAAGTACATAAAATAAAACTGAAATGTGATTATGTTCCGGCAAAAATTCGTTCGCCATGTGGGCGATCAGATTTTTAATATCTAGTCGCCCACCGCAAATTTTACTCGCATTTGCGAGTGGGCGAGTGGTTATCCACAACCCTGTACAGTTCAGTGCATTAACATTGTTTAATTACAAAACTGTTAAGTGTTGTTAGATTTTATTGTCCAAACAAGTGATTTCCGTAGTACACATGACATATTGCATTAAATGTACAGTTTGAAAATGTTCATTCCCTCCTTTTAATCATTTATATCAGTACTGTCATTGAATTCTGTGTTCTTTGTGTAGATGGATGAAATTTAACACTTAAAATTCTGAAAACTTCCTATTGTAGATTAAACACATGATGGCTTTCATAGAGCAGGAAGCCAATGAAAAGGCAGAAGAAATTGATGCTAAGGTGGGTAATTTAAAGCATCGAAAAGCCCTCCGTTTTTGTTGAACGACAAAAAAGGTTATTATTATTATTATTATATATACTTAACACTTTTTTCGTTTCACTTTTGAGAAGTATCTCTGATAACAGCACTGGGTACAAAATGTTTTGCCTGTATTAATATATATATATTCTTATTTATTATTGTATGTCATTAATCATAATTAAACATGAAAAATAAAATACACTTCTCAAATTTACACAAAGCAAGATGATATATAGCATGTGCTTGGAACAAAAATTATCAAGTACATGCAGTCATATGCTTTAATTCAATATGCTGTGTTCACAATGCTAATACAAATTATTACTTTAAGAACTGTTTTACAGGCCGAAGAGGAATTTAACATAGAGAAGGGGAGGCTCGTTCAGCAACAGAGAGTTAAAATCATGGAGTATTATGAGAGGAAGGAGAAACAAGTGGAATTACAGAAGAAAATGTAACTATTTGTTTCAAAATCTGACCCTGCTATTACGAGGTTTCCATAAAATCCATATACTTCTGTCAGTATTAAGTAATAGAAATATTTGAACTTTTTTAACACCCTTATGATCTAGTATTTTGAAAACCCTGAACACTGAATTTGTAGCTAAAGTAACCCTTATTGTACATTCCAGGAAAGAAAAAAAAATTAATCAGTTAGACAGCTACAAAAACAAGCAAGACAAATTGAGGAAAAAAAATTATTAAAAAAAAAATTATCTGCTCTTTTTGTTAATATTCCAGTCAAAGTTCCAATCTCCTGAATCAGGCAAGACTTCGGATTCTAAAAATGAGGGAGGATCTCCTTAAGGTAGATAATTCTTACAAACAGCAAACATGATAGAGAATTTCAAATGAACATGTTGATATGCTTATATACCTCTTAAAAGCAAAAAATTGTGACAAATCTTGTGAATCCAGTAAATGCATACATCAACTTTTTTTCCTCAAGATATCTCTCTAGGCTTTCTGTATTCTCCATTGCATGTAACTACATGTATCTTGCTATCTACCATTATTTTGTGAAAGGAAGCAGAGAAAATTTGTACATATCATGGGGAATTTGAATAAGAATTTAGACAAATTAATGGAGATGCCTTAATGGCATAAAGAGATACTCAGATATCAGATAAAGAAAAATACAAAAATCAGTTTTCAAAGATCATATTCTTTTTTCATCTTCTTAGGATTTGATGGAGGATGCCAGACAAAGACTTAGTCAGATCACAACAGACAGAAATAAGTACAAAAAGTTACTGGAGGGACTGATAGCTCAGGTAAGTAAGATGTTGATGTGGCTTTGTGCAAGCCCCATGAATAAAAAATAGTTGAAAACCAATTTATTGTTGATTTTTTTCATCTTAAATTTTTTTTTTATACATTAGTTAAAGTATTTTGTATAAAGAAAGAGAGATCGTAATTAGAATTTTACATCATCAAATTAATCAGCTGAATGAAAACCTAATGAATACCTTGAAGTAATGCTGAAGTATTATGTCTAGTGTTTACATCATAAAAGAGTTACTGTCTTAATTTGTATTTTTTATTTCAGGGCCTTTTTCAGCTTATAGAGGCATCCGTTGTACTGAGGTGTCGACAGAGTGATGTAGACTTAGTGAAGGTAAAAGGGAGGCGATGTCAGTTTACAGTTCCAAATAATTGAATTTGATTTAAATCTAAAGAATAACATTGTTTGAAATGAGAAAAAATTTATGAGTCATCCTTTCACAATAAATGATTTATTGATAATAGACCGATTCTTACTCACTATTTTGTTAACAATTGTATAAATTTTTATATACTTGTCTATTAGGTCACCAAATATTCGAGACATCTTCTTTTTTTTTTTTCACTGGGTATTAATTGGTATTTACAAGCGAGACAAAATTTTCACAAATTCTGTTTGTTGCATATAATCTCTAACAAACAAAAAAATATACATGGAAATGATATGTTTTGCAAGCAGATGATCTCACTTAATTAAGCAAAAATAAAAATTCTTGCAATGAAAACATGATTCACAGTACAATGTATGATTTCTGTGTACCTCTATACAATGAAAATGTCTTACATTTATGAAATGTCTGATGTCTTCTCTAGGAGAGTCTTCCATCAGCTGTACAGCAATACAAAGAAGCCACTGGAAATGATGTCTCCATCTCCATAGATGCCGACAACTTCCTGGGAAATGACGTGTCAGTACTGAAACCGGGAACTGAGTTTTTTTAATTTCAGAAAGTGAACATTAAATTTACAAGCTTTGAATTATGCATGTACAGTAAAACTTGTATAACATTGATGTTGTATATTCTGAAATCGTGCCTATTTCAAAAGTTTTTTCATATTACAATGTAAACTTTAAAGTCCCTGTAAGTAAGTTCATTTTTTAAAATAATGTCTGATCCGAAATGTTGGCCAATCTGTCCAATTTCTTTGGAATCAGTGGTGTCCAGATTAGACAAATTTTGTTTTGTATTAATGTTGATATTTCCACTTGATACTTATTATTATTTAGACATTGTTGAAATGATGATTACTTGTAACTACATGTACATATTGATGTAGGGAACAAAATAAGATCATCCATGGATTCTGGGTCAATTTATTAGAGTCCATTCATTCAAACTATTTAATCTTACCTCTTCGGGTGATTTATACAATTCAAGAGTTGTGGCCCTTTAAGTGCTGCAAAAAATTGCAATGTTCCATGATCCAACTTAATAAATGGAAAAAAAAGGATAAAAAGGAATGTGTTGCTTACAAAACTTCTCTAACAGTTTTACTAAGCTGTGTCTCTGATAAGTAAATGTAATAAAATTTTATCAAATAACCCTGATCTTGAAAATTTAGGATATTGTAAAACTTACTCTTTTTCTTATATCAGCCCAGCAAAAATAAAAGATTATTATCTTGCAACAAATAAAGAAATGAGATTAATGTAATAATTGATTGATGTGTGATGATTGCTTGTGTACAGTAGCTCAATTTATATATTCACAGGTCAGGAGGGGTTGAACTTTTAGCACAAGCTGGGAAGATCCGGGTTGAGAATATGTTGGAGAGTCGTCTTGCCCTCATCAGTCAACAGGTAAGCTGTCCTTCTGTCAAATGTCTTAATTATATGTAGTTGTGATGAAAATCAATTAATGCCTAGATGAATTCCAAGTATTGGAAGTAACAATTTTAAAATTAACAAGAGCACTGCAAAGCGGAGCATCCCCTTGCTAAAGAGCATATTTTTAAGTGGCCTGCTATTTACAACACACTCATGACTCACATCAAAACAAATTAAAGCAAATGGCTGTTTTTTAAAGGCAGCATCATACAAAATTCCCATTTTTTTATGGTTAACTTCCATTGATTCCTGATTCAGTCCACACCAGAAATGAATATATAGGCCCGTTAGGAATGTTTGGGGGGGGGGGGGGGCAGAGCATGCCAGAAAGGGACAAAGTATTGAGAATAATCTTCCAAACATAAATACCTAAGCATGGTTGCTTTCAAAGAAATGTAAATGTTTGAATTGTTTATTCTATTTCTTCATAATAGCAATATATGTGTGAAATAACCTCTAAGCTTTTAAAATTATTGATATTTTTATGACTGATACATGTACTTCCATTAACTTAAAGAGTCGAGGATAGAATAATTCTGAAACTAATTGTACATAACTCAAAGTTCAGATTTTAAAAGAATGAACAACAATGCTAAAATACTGAATTGTGTGTTTAATTTCTTTTCTTTATATTTCTGTGACTGGAGTACAAAAATTATGGAAAAAAACAACAATAAATTTTCATTAAAATAAGACATTAAATTGCATCGAACTTGATGAAAATTATCAATTCCATTATGCACATAGGCACTCACCCACACACAAATGTGTTACTAAATCCCCTCCAATTCTTTAGTGAGGGGATGATGCAGTTGATCATTTGCTCAAAAGTAAAAATGCATTAAGGGAGTTAACACTCAAAATTCATGTGAAACAACTTCTTTCCAAAAACAATCGACTAAGAATTCATGCAGTCAGATCATTAATGCATGGTTTGTTGATTTTTAAGAAGATCTGATTAGAAAAAAATGAGGTGTGATGCTCCAAATAATTTAACATCACTGTAAATTTAGTGAATCTGATTTCTGATTTCATAAGTACCAAAGAATGGCCTAATGAAAATCAGGTTCTTTGTAGAGTGACCATCATAACTTCGTAGCGTACGTAATAAAGATCTGATTTTAGTCAGATTGGTTTTATTGCTGAGAACTTCATGAACACAATTTTTTCCCTTGAAAAACGTAGAGTTCTTATCAGTCATTAAGTTGGTAAATGTTTATATTGTGTGATACAAATTTTTTTATAAGATTTAGATTTACCTTTACATGTAGGTTAGGCCATGAATTAAAATTTCAGACTTTCTCAGTATAATGCCTTGTTGGAATGACTTTAAGCTGTCCATATTTTCAGGAAGATTTCACTCTTTTTTTTTTTTTTTTGACAGATGATTCCAGAGTTAAGAACAATTTTGTATGGAGCCAATCCAAACAGAAAATTCATGGATTAAACCTACCAGATGTTTGTAGTAATCAATTACATGGGTCATCATATATCTATCAAAATTGGGTCTATACACAAGTCTAGTCAATGGGAACTTCATGATAGGTACTTTATAGGTTAAACTTTCTGTGCAAAGGTTTGATACCATATAGCAATGTATATTTACCTGTACAATTTTTGAGGATGTCACTATCAAACTATGTCTGCATTTTTTTTTAAAATATCTCAAAAACACTTGCATTAGCAGAATTAAGTTAAGTATAAATATATTTTAGCTGTATATCTGTAGATCTTGTATAATGAACAAAAACAAAGACATGTATATTTGAAACTATTATTTATCTTTGATGTCTGTCATTCATATTGTTTCTGCAAGGTTGAAATCCATGACATGATTTAGATTGTACGAGTTACTTCCCTTTGACTCTGTTCATTTTACGATGTATTCAGAGATAGTCTAATAGTCGTGTCAAAGTTACTGTGATCATTCCATTCATAAGTACATGAGTACTTATCAGTGCTACAGATTATGTATTATGTGTATTGTTGATATTTAATCAGGATTATAAAATATATAAAAACGTTGAAAAAATTGAAATGATTTGCATGTTTCTTGTTGTTCAGCTGCAAACTAAGGAGCTGATCCTTACGTCGCGGGTTCGAATCCACTGCGGGACGTGGAGACCGGTCTTTGGATGAGACCATATAAACTGACGTCCCATATCGCAGTAGGTGTTGGCACGAAAAAGATCCCTCACTGCTCAATGGCCCTGAGTGCAGTGTATAGGTATAAATTTGCAGCCCTCCACCGGCAAGTGGTGGCGTCTCCATATGAGTGAAAAGTTTTCGAGAGGGACTTTAAACAACAAAACAATCAGTGAGAGAGAGAGAGAGAGAGCGGGTGGGAAGGGAAGGCTACCTGCTTGAGAAGAGAAGGATGCTTTATATTAATTTCGTAACATTAGACATTAGTATATACATGTATGACTTCGCTGATGTGTTCGATCAGCATTCTAGTGAATTTAATTGTTTAGAATCAGACTTATCGCGTTTTTATCCTCTTGTAGTTTGCGCGTTCATCGAGACATTAAAAGGGAGTAATATACACTTATTTACCGTTTATGAAGACGATAGCAAGATTATTGTACCCCAAGATGGCACCTATTTCCAGAGGCGCAATCGGGGGAAATAGTTGCTGTCGAGGGGGGCAGTAAACTTGCGATTGTCTTCATAGACAGTACATGGATGTTAAATTATACTGAAGCAGACTTTACTCGTGTCACATGATCCGTATAAAACGCATCTTGCCAAGGTTTTTCGATAGACCGAAAACCCTTGGCTAGCAAATATAACTAAAACTAGAGAAGTTCCGAAATGAAAGGCGAGGGAAATCGAACACAGCCGGTGAATAGTTCGACTATTTCACCATGGACAAATAGCACAAAAATAATTCACGGTAGAAGCAGTTAAGAAAAAAATAGCAGGGTTTTTTTTGGTCATATTTTTACATAGAAAATTTGCACAGAGGTATAATGACACAAACCATACCCTGGAGTATAGTTTGTGGAACTCTTCAGTGTTGGAGAAGTTGCCAGCCCGTCGTATCATGGCCGTAGGAACCGGAGGGGGGGGGGGGGGGGGGGTGCTCCTCCCAATAATTTTGCCCATATATAGAATACCATAGAAAACAAAGTTACCATATGCTTGTGCCCCTTCAAAATAACGTCTGATGTCCTTCTTTTGACCTTTTTTTTTCTTTTTTGCTTGTCAAGGAATTTTTGGTAGTTGATAGTGCCCCCCTCCAAATAAAAATGTATGGTATGTGTCCTCTCAAACTGAAATTGCTTCCTAGCCTGCGTATTGCAGGGAATCAAAAGTGGCGTCAAAAGTTGAATGAAAATTTTCTGAAGGGTAGATAGTATACACCTATTTACTGGCTATGAGGACAATAGCAAGTTTATCGTTCCCCAAGACAGCAACTATTTCCCGAGGCGCAGCCGAGGGAAATAGTTGCTGTCGAGGGGGACGATAAACTTGCTATTGTCCGAATAGTCAGTAAATAGGTGTTTTATTATACCGAAGCAGTTTTTACTTGTGTTACGTCACAATCTGGATAAAAGCAGAAGATTCCGAGATGAAAAGCGAGGGAAACAGAATGCTGCCGTTGAATAGTTTAATGACTATTTCACCATGGGCAAATAGCACAAAAATTATTCCACGGTAGGAGCTGTTTGGAAAAAATAGCATGTTTATTCGTCATTTTTTATATAGAAAAAATTCACAAAGGTATAATAACACAAACTACACCCCACGATATATTAATTTCTGAAACATTTCAGAATATCAAAGTAGTTATTTTCTCTTCTTCACTTTATATTGGAATCATTTGAACAGAAGTATAATTTATGACTTCATTTGCATATATCTATACTTATAAATTAATAAATTTTGCAAATAAACTCAGAAACGGATACACCAGAGTTCTTACTTACTACTCTAACAATACACACGATACAAGATGATGTCCGTAAACTATATTTAGATTTCACTCGCATAGTAAGTATCGTACATAAAATTAAAAGTCTACTTTCATTTTCTACAAACAGCCATGAAATAGGAAAAAAGTGATTACGGTGGCGTTTCCGGTTGGCGGATCTAAGTTACTGGCAATTTTTAATGAAACTGATAACAATCAATCGTTTATTTATTTCATAAAACGTCATCACTGAATTATTCAATGAAAACTTGATTTAAAAGATGTAAAAGAAATAAGTTGTGATAACCGATTAAAAAGGGAAATGTGCAAATTATTTTCGTCATTCACCGATCTTAATATTGAAGGAAGCTTCTAGAACATCATATAGCATCGAGCCCGATGTTAAAAAGAAAACGAGGCGATTATAGCTGTATGAACATAAAAAAAATGTTTTTGTGTGAATGGTCATTGAAGAAAATGGTAAATCATTGATAACACTATAAGTTGTTATATATCGAAAGGCTATTACCTATATGTAATAGGTTTTCCTAATAAATTTATCGATAAAATTAGTATATTTCCTTACTGACTGAGAGCATCGTGGCAACGAACCCGAAGTACAATTTGTACTGCGTAATAATGTCGCTTACATGAAAAGAGAAAATTAATGAATAAGGTATTGTTCAAATACAATTAAAGCTGTAAAATTCTGTGCTTTTATCAATACATTTCAGTTTTTTTTTCTGAATACAGTATCAAATACTCGGCCTATTCATAGGGCGTTAAAAGCTCATTTTTACACATGTACTCGAGTCTTGGTTTATAAATATGTATGTACCTTATTGATATGTAAAAAAAAAGTAAAGTAAATCTTTTACATATCAATAAGGTACACACACATTTATAAACCAAGACCCAAGTACCTTTACTCCCCCCCCCCCCTCCCAAAAACAAAAATCAATTTATCAGTAAAATGTGCATATTCGCTGCTTTTATCCTTGACGGAAATGAAATAAAGCATCTGAAGTACAATATCCATAACATAGTATAACAGGTTTCACAATAAACGTCAATTAATGAAATTGTTATTTTTCAAGTTTTTACAAAAAGGAGGGGGTGGGGTTGGAGACGTACATCTACTTCATGTGGGATTTTGTACAAAGTATTTATTCCAGCTATAAGCCTGTAGGCTGTCAGTAGAAACTACAATATATTTTCTGTCGGTAGTGGTATAAATTCAATTCCCCGCGCTTGCGCGGGATTTCATCTAGTATTGATAGATTTTAATGACTGCTCGGAGACTTCTCACTGGTATTTCGCCCACGTTTTCACGGACATTACCTGTCTTTCAGATAAAATGTATACTTTTGCAATCTAAAATGTAGATAGGAATGTAGGAAACAGTCCGAAACACTATTTAGGTGTGTGTGTGTATGCGGGGGCGGAAAGGGGGTGGGGGGGGGGGGCACAGCCTATCAAATATATTCTCGACAGGCCAAAAATGGTAATTAGATGTCATTATATGACATATGTAGATTTAGCTTTTGTTTTCTCATGTATATTAAATATAGGCAAAATGATTGATGGGATACATATATAAATTAGCTTTATTTTCTACAGTGTATAATAGAGTAAACTGGCAAAATTATTGAGGAGGCAGGGGGTTGGACCCTCCCCCATTCCTACGGGCCTGCTCCACAAAATATCAGCTATGTTGTGCTTTTATTACTCCATCGAGGTATCAATTCAACGTACATGTATACAGCTAGCGTTACAGTGCCGTCATCAGGTTTCAGGAGAAGGGGATGCGGAGGAGGGACTGAAGGGTTTGGTATATTCTGGTTGCATTTTCCCGAAAATCAGAAACAAAATAAAGCATCATTACTTTAAATGAAGAAATTCATTTTAGGTAAAAAAAAAAAAAAAAAAAAAAAAAAAAAAGGTATATTTTCGACATAATTTTAAAGGGTAAGGGGGCTCCTGTCCTCTGACGGCTTGGGTTAAAGGAAATTTTAAGTTGAAAAGTTGCATAAGTGCACATGTATAGTGTGTAACACTGTTATATATTGCTTGCATTTCAATGAAGCTATTCACAAATCATAAAGGCATTCATTTTTCAATGTGCGCTTTAACTTTAGTGCTTAATAAATACCGAGACATTATCACAGCAGGGATTCATTGTTTGTATGGGTATTTAACCTTGAATTTTACTTTAAATGAATGCAAATGCAATTGTTAAGACTTGCAAATAAATCTCTATGTTGCTGGAGGCCCCGGCTTCTTATAGTACCGAAAGTAATTATTTGGCAAGTTATAGCGGGATAAAATGTGTGAAGGCTTATAACACAAACTGAAACGAGAGATATATTATATACATGTACGTACATATTTTATTTGTGTAGTCAGAAATACTTCTTGATCTGCATGTCAAATGTGCGTGTTAGGGAAAGAAAACTAAACGCTGGTGAAAATTAAATAATATTATTATTAAAAAAACTGTTTAGTTAAAAATATCAAGTACATGATAACTGTAAGAAAAACTTGGATTGTATACAATATCTATAAATGCCTGTCAACAGGTAAAATAAACGACTAAGGTTGACTAGAAGTACAATACTATATATCTAACAGAGACTGGACTGAACGAAAATAACACATATATACTTGTATACTAGTATACACGAATTTATCTATTATCTAACGAGCAAGGTGCCAGTTAAAAGCACGAGTAATTGTGAAAAAAAATTCAGCTATGTTCACTTGAACAAAAAAGCAATTCAAATTGAACAAATAAATTCCAAGTACAATGAATTCTATACATAATTATAATGTTAAACAGTTTGTTGTTAACCTTTCTTTATACATATAGGATGATGATAACAGAACAACATTGTCCAATGAATAACAATACCATATATCGGGGTCAACTGTCTTTGAAGAAAAAAGTCTGATTGTCTTCAGCGTAATAGAAATATTCAGCTAGTAATGTAGTTATATAACTGAAAAATGTGAATCTTGTTAGGGCTACTTAAAGTTCAAGAAGCTAACGAAATACAAATAAGAAAAAAAATCTTCTTTGGGAACTACTAGTATCTCCAATAAACTTCTTCACCACTGAGTCA